TCTGTTTAGGCGATAAACCACAAGTCAAATTCTGGAATTGAAATTGAATTGACCCTAACTCTGCTGGTCACAAAGCCAGTGGCTCTCAGTTTATTGCAGGGTTTGTTTGATGTATTGTTTTGCATTGCAAGGTCTGCATGTTTTAGTTTCTCTTTGTTTCTGTCTGAATGCTGTGGGTTTATTGTGGCTGTTCCACATTTGTTATGGCTGCTCTGTGTTTGCTAGTCAGGTGGGGAGTGTGGGCTACAGCTGCTCTCCTGGCGTGACCTTAGCATGCATGGGGTCATGAATTTGCTTGTGTTAGTCTATGACTGATTACCTGTCCAGTCTATTGTCTAATGATAGGGGGGAAACAAGGCCTCAGAGATGGATGGCAGAGTATAGCGGTGAATGGTGGGACTGTTCTAGCACTGTCTATCAATGAGTATACATCACTCATTCTCACTGACCAACAGCCAGTACTTCACAGCACTTGAAATTCCCACCCACTGTTGGATTCAGATCATTTATTTTACTTAAGCTATTTTCTTGCATGTTACTGTACTTTGACTCCCTAAATTCATATGATGTTGACCTCACAAAGTAAGATATATTTAAGATCATGATTTATAAAACTATCTTCTGCTTGGTAAAACTGTTAAGTGCCTGTAGAAAAATCAACTGTCTCTGTCTGGCTATAGTCACCAGCAGTGAGTAAGACTGAGTACGCCTATCAATCTCTACCACACAATAAACCCCATAAATGTATTTGTATTCTTTGCTCAATTAAAATCAGTTGAATAAAATATAATTATTGAGGCTTTTTGCAGCAGATCAACTGCAGCGACGATAAACATTATCCCTCAGCGATTAGGCAAAGACTCTCCGTCTGGAGTTTTCACCCCAGCTATTTGGTCTCATTCACCTTGTGCAAACTTCTCAATAAACTCTCTTTAACACGTGCCATTAACCCAGAGTCAGAAGATTAAGTTATGATCTGCCATGACCCAGACTGCGATTAAAATAAAATAGGCCTGTTTTATAATGGCACAGAAATAATTTAACATAAGACATGGCCTTATAAAGTACCCAGTTATCAGACATGTATTTTCTTACTTTGAGTACCATGCTTAGAGCCAAGAGTTTTCCCTGACCTTGTGACCTTACCAGGAAAAACTCCTGGGTCTAGTTATAGCCTAGTTATAGCACCAAGGTCTGAGATCTGAATGTGTACTCCTAGAGGTTTAGGATGGTGAGCGTTTTTGACCTTGAGGGTGCAAACCCCAAAATGGATTTTGGAATAGGCTTTGATCGATTGTCATAGGATCTTTTGGACGTAACATCCGTGTTCCTTCTCCTATTCCTTATTAAGCTGACTTTTTTGAAAAAATAATATAAATGTTCCATTTTGGAATTAAATAATATTCATTCTGATTGCAACTCACAGTGTGGCTACCCAGAAAAGGGTCATTGTAAGGGAATCACACACACACACTCACTCACTCACTCACACACGTGCGGGCACGAGCATACAGAGACAGCATGCTGTTGAAAGGTGACCTGGTACAGTTGTGTGAGGTATCGACATTATCCGCCATGGAGCAGCTAGACATCAAGTTTCTCCCTGTCCATCGGTGGTCAATAGCCTCTCAGTAAAGACAGACTCAAATGTCCTCTACACACACACACACACACAAACACCACACCACACCTGCTGACAGCAAGGAGGCAGAGGGAGGGAGGTGTATCTGTCACACATCACAGTGCCTGCAGGGATGAGTCAGAGCCGTGGGAAAAGCTTGCCCTCCTATTAACACATTCACAGTGCTGAGTGGACAATACATTATTAATCCATGGTCTTCATTTAGCAATCACACAGTGCACAAGACACTTCCTAGGGAAATCTAGGATGTGAAAATGAAGCGACGTTACGAATTCATTTTCGTGTTTGCTCATTGTTGAATTTTTTATATTTAATCCCCTCATAACAGATCTTTGTTTTTGTTCCTGAAAGTGATGTACCTACGAATGAGAGTACACAACACAATACCTTTGTAGCATACACTTTTCAGGAATGCTCTAAGCATACAGTGAATGAGGACAGGCAAATCCAACCATTTCCAGTCATTATAACTGTCTCTTTGTCATGGTCAGGGAGAGTAGTGATATAATCCAATATAATGTGTTGGCTCTCGGCGTGTTGAGGTGGAGGGCCTTGCCCAATTAGCTCTTCTGAGCTCTAATTAGTTTGCCAGAGAGTGAGGATGACGAGGGTCAGAGTGTAAGGGGGTGATAATGATGAAGCTGACGCAAAGAGCAGTTTTAACCCATACAGCGGGGCGTCTGTCTGGCCCCTCTCCTCACCCCCCTACCCTCTGGTGGTTCTCAACCGGGTCCTCTTAGAGACGTCCGTAGATAGATCATTACTCTAATTGGCTGCCGTGGGGAGAGCAGACTGTACTTCCACCTCTATTGCTATATCTTTAACCAAAGCCTAAAGGAGTGTGTGTCCACAGGCGTGGAAGGAAGCCAAAGTAATAATCAGTTTGCTGCCTGTTCTTATTCAACTGATGGAGTTAACTACTGACTTTCAGTAGGCATGTAGAGAAGGGCACTCAACTTGTACTGCACTGACTCAGATGACTGATGATTGGTTAGAACAAATGTATAGTATGTTGATAGTTGGAGCTGTATTGTTAGATTTCAGTGCAGCCTTTGATGTTATTGATCATAAATTGTTATTGAAAAAGCTCACTTGCTATGGCTTTACATCACCTGCCATCACATGGTTGGATAGTTATTTATCCAATAGAACCCAGAGAGTGTTCTTCAATGGAAGCTTTTCTAACATCAGATATGTAAAGTGCGGTGTCCCTCAGGGCAGTTGCCTTGGGCCGTTACTCTTCTCTATTTTTACAAATGATTTGCCACTAGTCTTACACCAAGCTAGAATGACAATGTATGTGGATGATTCCACACTCTACATGTCAGCACCCAAAGCCAGTGAGCTCACTGACATTCTAAATAAGGAAACCGTGCTTCTTAACACCCGCCCGCTTAATCTGGAAGCCAGCCGCACCAATGTGTCGGAGGAAACACTGTTCAACTGACGAGGTCAGCCTGTAGGCACCCTGCCCACCACAAGGAGTCGCTAGAGCGCTGTGAGCCAAGGAAAGCCCCCCTGGCCAAACCCTCCCCTAACCCAGACGAAGCTGGGCCAATTGTGCGTCGCCCTATGGGACTCCCGATCATGGCCGTTTGTGGTACAGCCTGAGATCGAACCCAGGTCTGTAGTGATGCCTCTAGGACTGCGATGCAGTGCCTTAGACCACTGCACCACTCGGGAGGCCCCAATGTTCTGTGCTTTTGACACAAAAATCAACTGTACCAGTTGTTCAGGCTCTGGTCTTGTCCCATCTTGATTATTGTCTGGTAATATGGTGAAGTGCAGCAAAGAACGATCTAGCAAAACTGCAGCTGGCTCAAAACAGAGCATCATGCCTTTAACTGTACATACAGAACTAACATCAACAACATGCATTCCAGTCTTTTCTGGTTGAGGGTTGACGAGAGATTAACTGCTTCTCTTCTAGTTTTTATGAGAAAAATTACTGTGATGAAAAATCCATATTGTCTGCATAATCAAATAACATACATCTCAGACACCCATACATACTCCACAACACATGCCACAAGGGGTTTCTTCACAGTCCCCAAGTCCAAAACAAATTCACGGCAATGAACAGCATTACACAGAGCCATGATCGCCAATTACTCAAGCAAAGTAAAATGACCTTAAAGAAATAGATAAAACAACATCTCATTGCAAAACGGGGACTGTGAAATGACACAGACACACACAGAGACACACTATCACACTGTAACACACACAATCTACACATTTTTCTTCAGTTGTATTGTTTGTGTATCGTTGTATTTTAAAATTGAGTGACTATTCTTGTCTATTTGTGTTTTGTTACTTGTCGTGTTTTATATTGTTGTATGGACCCCAGGAAGAATAGCTACTGCTTCTGCAAAAGCTAATGGGGATCCGAATAAACCAATTAAAACCAATTGAATAAACCAATTTGACTGTTTTAATGGTAAATGCTATTGAAGGCAGGAATATCTAAAAATGGGTGGACGATAACAAAGAGTATAATCTACAGTGTATACGGTGTATAGAGAAATAAATATACTGTATGTGTCTGGCACGATCCGTGGATTACTTGCATGTCTTCTGTTGCATGGTCGTTGTCCGTTGGCTACTTGTTCTGTTCTCTGCATGCCTCAAGCTGCCTCTGTTTTCTTTATCTGGCTATGTCCTAGGCTAGCATTCTTGTACCCATTTCAGACAGAATATTTGGTATGTTACCTGTAAAAGAAATACGGCAATATTTATATGACCCCTTTGAAACAGCCCCTTATTTACCACTTATTTGTAGGTATACCCCTTTTATACATATCAGTGGGTAACTGGCAAATTGGGACGGATGGGAGGTGTTGTTAAACCATGGGGGCTGTTTTCAGTTCAAATTAGGGATGTGTTAAACAATGGAAGTGTTAAGGAATTTACCTGCAAAAAAGCAGAGAACCATTCACACAGATCCAATACCTGTATTTTGGTTACAGGGTCTGTGAAAATGCAGGAATCACGACAAGGTCTTTAGGTGGCTTTTATTTTTCCATGTGTTTTACCCCATACCCCTTTCAGATATGTGAAAAAGCTGGTCTGTGTATAAAAGGGATATTAGATGGCTTCTTCTCAAAAGACTATACCAGTGAAACCAGTATGGTGACAATAAAAAACACTGTCTGCCCTTTCAGTCTGTAGTGCTCTATAGGGAGGAGGAAGGAGGTCATTTCAAATTGCTGGGACAGATTCTAATGATGATGAGGATGATTATACCAAGCTGCTCACACTTTTACCCACTAATGATACTGTCTGGTTGTGGGGCTTCTAACCTTCCCTATCTCTCTCTATCGCTCTCCTGTCTGTCTGTTTGTCTGTCTCTGTGAAGTCCTTGCTATGTATGAGAATGTTCTTAAGTGTCCTACACTGGGCTGCACGGGACGCGGCCATGTCAATAGCAACAGGAACTCCCACAGAAGGTGAGTCGACCAACAGGACCGGCAGCCATCTTGGAAAATGCCAGAATCATCTGTGTTACGTCCACCTTTTATTCAGTAGGAGATTTTTATTTTTTCCCTCCAATGACGGGTTGTTACTTTATCCTGGTTTCTTTCCTCTTTATAAGTATATTTTCTTTATTAATTTTTTTACTGGATATTCCTCATAATTGTTTTCATTTTGTTTATATTCTATTTATTTGCTCATGTGTTTATTGATTCATTTATTTATTTTCCAATTGTATCATCAACTTGCCAATAATTTTGTGTCTGTATATTGTGTCACTATTTTTATTGATTGCGATGGGAAAGGGGCTTACAAAAGTAGTTGGCTTTGGATATCTCAGTTACCACCACCATACCTAATTATGTGGTTGCTTATCTAATGCTAAATCTGGAGTCACACTTGAAATGCTGTAATCCACACATCAAGGTTTCCGGGAGAGAAGCTGTGTGTAGGGGTGTGGGTGTTGAGGGTGGAACTGAAATAGCCGTGTGCTCCCCTCTCCTGTCACACAGCTAGAGACAGAGAGGTGAGAGAGAAAGAGAGAGAGAGAGATGAGAAGGAGTGGAGTGTCACCCACAGCAGATGTTGTGAGAGTCAGGGTGTAGCAGCAGCCATTAGCACCTCTCTACCACTCTTGCAGGAGGGCAGGAAGGCTACAGACCTGGGAAGACTGGAGCTCTCTCTTGCTGAGCACAGTGTCACTCACACACTGACACTCAGACAGGCATGCACACACACGCTCACACACACAGATACACATTACATACACACACAGACATACACACACTCAACTTCTCAGACAGTCATGTGCACTAACACACACACACTTGCAAAACACACACACACCTAAATGAACACCTACTAACTGATACTCACACCTCAAGAAGACACCTCTCACTCCACCAGCGCTGGCACAGGGCCATGATCTAAATAACCTCTCCACTGGGACTTAAAGTCTCTTTACACTTGACGACATTTACAAAGAAGAATTTGTGAAATGATAAATAATGACGAGGGCCTTTGTTAAATGTGGTTGATTGGCAGTATCTCAAGCAGCTGTGCTGCAATAATAGATCCTTTATTAACCTTGGGAGGTTGGTGTGTGTGTTTTGGGAGGTTGTTTGGCCGGTGTGTGTGTGTGGATTGGGTAGCAGGGACAGGATTGTGTTTATACTCTGAAGCCACTCAACCAAAAAAAAGCAATCTGTTATAATAACCAACTGCGTTGTTGTTATTTAAAACGTTTGATGAAAATTTATGATATTGGAAATTAACCAAAAAACTTGTTGAAAGGTAGGCAGGCAGATGGATAATCAGACAGGCAGGCAGACACCTCCATTCCTAGAAAGACTGACAGACAGGCAGGCAGAAAGACAGACATACAGACAGATGGTCAGAGATGCATTGAATGGAACCATTATATTGGTTCAGATATGATCAGTCTCACCTCCATTACTGGTTGTCTTACTCATCACCCCTCTGTTGTCCTTTCAGCCTATCGGGGTGTCCCATCGCTGCAGCAGAGAAGCTGGCTAAAGCCCAGGAGAAGAGCATAGGATGCGACGGCTCCTCCAAGTCTAACCAGGGCTCTGACCGCGTGCTCAGGTACTGTTCACTGCTCACCACACCACACCACACTCAGCTTCCATAGGGAACACCTCACTGGTCCAACGGCCTGAATATATTAATTTATTTATCCTCAAGTGCTCTACCAGGGTTGGGTTTCATTCAATTTCAAATGATTTTACTCTTCCTGAATTGAAATGGAATTGACCCCATTATGGAGCGCTACATTATATCCTCCCTTACTCTGCTTGCATTATTCAGTCAGTGTTGGAAGGTTTTCTTAATTACTGTATTATAGATTAAAATGTTTCTCTATGTCTGTTTGATTTCTTTATCTTTTGATCTCTCAGACAGTTAGAGTTTGTAGACACTCTACGTTCAGTTTCTTGTTTATGAAGTGAAAGCCTTTATTGGGTTTCAAAGAGCCGAATCATTTCAACAAAAGTTTTTTTGATATGCAATGGTAGATATAACATTTCTATCCAATTAGACTGCATCACTAATTCAAGCTCTGATAGTTTTTAGATGAAAACATTTTTAAAAATAATATCAGAGAAAATGCATGGCTTTAATTATGAGTTGTGTTTGGGTGAGACATTTTCAGGAAACATTGTAGTGTTGCAACAACAGACAGCATAGACATGTAGCTTAGATTAACTAAAAGCTAAATCCAAGGATTCTCTTAAGCTAGAGTTGACTGTTGCCAAAACCTTTTCCCTTGGCTATGTTCCCCTCCCCTCTCCCTGCCCCCTCTCCTCCCTTCCCACCTCCCCTGCACTGCGTGATGTTTGGTGCCTCTGCTCTGTCCAACCTACGCCCCCTCGTGGTTTATTTTCCAGGCCTATGTGCTTTGTGAAACAGCTGGAGATCCCTCAGTACGGCTACAAGAACAACGTGTCCACCAGCACGCCACGCTCCAACCTGGCCAAGGAGCTGGAGAAGTACTCCAAGACCAGCTTTGACTACAGCAGCTTCACAGACAGCAGCCACAGCAACAATGTCTATGGCAAACAGGCCATCGCACCCAAGCTCCAAGGCAGGGACACCTCTCCCAAAGGATATGATGGTACAGCCCATCTTACTGGCACTTCAGTTGTATCTGTTCCTACTTTATTCAGGTAGTCAATATGAATATTGTGTGTCAGTAGAATAATGAATATCCTTGCCTCTGTGGTTTGGTTTATGAATGGTCTGTATTCCAAGCCTTTTTTCTCCACAGATTCATTGTATTTTTGCCCAGTATTTCCAAATTCACCAATATTTTTACCTCCCAAATTCTTTATTGTTGAATGCATCCCCCAAAGCCAAACTACTGTAAGAGTATTTCCATGCAGTGTATGTCTCTATACTTGTGGATGAACTATCCCTATCTCTGTGTGCTTGTGTCCTCCAGTCAAGCGCTACTGTAAGAACTCCAGCTCAGCGAGCAGCCCGAACAGTACCTACGCCCCCAGCAGCAGCAGTAGCAGCCTGAGCTGTGGAGGAGGGGGCGGAGGGGGAGGCAGCAGCGCCAGCTCCACCTGTAGTAAGAGCAGCTTCGACTACACCCACGACATGGAGGCTGCACACATGGCCGCCACGGCCATCCTCAACCTGTCCACACGCTGCAGAGAAATGCCCCACGGACTGGGAGGAAAACCCCAGGATCTTTGCTCTCGGGTAGGCCTTGTTTAGTGACAAACCCTTTATAAAGCCTTTATAGCTGATACCTTTAAGTAGAGTTCACATGAGAGAATGGGATTGTCCGTATTGTACAATATTCAAAGGACGTGAGAGGAGGACACTACAGGTTTGTTTGTTTGTTGACTTTCGGACAACTGGAAATATCCAAATCCCACTTGACATCCTGTGGTCTACCATACAGTATCTCCTGTGGTCTACCATAGAGTATCATAGCATTGGATAGACCTTTGAATTATATCCTCCAACCACCTTCCCATCCCACTGCTAGAGGCCTTACTCTCCCAGCTCCAAGCTTCCTCTGTCCTGCCAGGTAATGTGAGCAGTGATGAGTGAGGACGATAGCGTCTCTTTAGCCACACACGCTGGCACTCTGTTAAAGAGATATCCACGGCTGTGTCTCTGGCACGGCGCTCAGCAGGACAGCTTTTTATTTTCCCTCCAGGGATCAGGTAGGGTAGATAGGGAGCACGGCGGGATGGGACGGATCGCCGCCGACACGCTGTGAGCCCAATATGTCATCAGGAGGCGATAAGGCGTCGGTATCCCTGCATTATCAGCACGGAGATGCTGAGCCGGTAAATAGGAGAGAGAGTAAGCACAGCGGAGCGCTAACGCTAGCCTGGCACTAATGTTTCACAGCGTGGTCTTTCTGGGGGTGGAGAGGAGAGCAGCGGCGGGGAGAGGTCAGGAGAAGCCAGAGGAGAGAAGAGAGTAAGGGAAAGGAGGTGAAGAGAGGAAAGCATAGAGGAGAGGCCATGAAGGATGGGAAAACACAGAAGAGGATGGAGGGGAGTAGAGGGACGCTTTCAGTGTGAGGTAGAGCGGAGTGGCAAAAGAGCCGTAGGCAATCAGGACTTCCTCTCGCTCTTCCTCCCTTCCTCTCTTCCTCTCTGTCCATTTCTGCTTTGTAGGCGAGACAGACAGACCGACAGGAGGCTCCAAGGCAGAGGTGGAGACAGGAAACGTCAGGGAGATTCTCAACCTTCTTTCATCTGAAAACCTCCAGTCATGTCATTGGTTTTCTCACATTGTCTGTCTTTCCCTATCTACATCCATTCCTATCTTTCTGAGTGAAAGTGAGGGAGACTGAGGAATACTCATGAATACTCATGAATAACTATGTTTTATTTTAGGAGCTGGAGGAGGCTGGTGGAAGTAATGTGGGGAAGCAGTCACTGACCCCTCCCGCTCTCTCTTGCCCCACCTCCTCCCAGCGTAGCCCTGGAAACAGGGGACGGGGCTACCTGGGGGTCAGATGATAATGATGTGGTCCGTGAGGAAACGGGGGGGGGGGGTGGGATCTCTGGAGAGGCTCCTTTCTCCCCTTCCCAATCTACTACTAACTAGACATCATGTGTCAATCAAGATTAGTACTGTCATTCACCCTGACAAGAGACCATATATATGTACATAAACACACATGCACACAATCATGCTTGTTAATGCACAATGACACACATACTGTATATGCATATTAATTTGAAGCCCACACATACCATGCCACATGAAAATATCGCTCTCTCTTTCTTGCTGATAGCTTTTAGCCTTGCTTCAAAGTTTCTCTCTCTCTCTCCATTCTCCATTCTCTCTCCATTCTCCATTCTCCATTTCAAATCAAATCACATCAAATCAAACTTTATTTGTCACATGTGCCGAATACAACAGGTGTAGACCTTACCGTGAAATGCTTACTTACAATGCAGTTCAAGAAAGAGTTAAGAAAATATTTACCAAATAAACTAAAGTAAAAAATAATAAAAAGTAACACAATAAAATAATAATAACGAGGCTATATACAGCCAGTACCGGTACCGAGTCAATGTGCGGGGGTACAGGTTAGTCGAGGTAATATGTACATGTAGGTAGTGGTAAAGTGACTATACATAGATAATAGACAGCGGGTAGCAGCAGTGTAAAAACAAATTGGAAATAGTCTGGGTGGCCATTTGATTAATTGTTCAGCAGTCTTATGGCTTGGGGGTAGAAGCTGTTAAGGAGCCTTTTGGTTCTAGACTTTGCGCTCCGGTACTGCTTGCCGTGCAGTAGCAGAAAGAACAGTCTATGACTTGGGTGACTGGAGTCTTCGGCAATTATTTGGGCTTTCCTCTGACACCGCCAAGTATATAGGTCCAGGATGGCAGGAAGCTTGGCCCCAGTGATGTACAGGGCCATACGCACTACCCTCTGTAGCACCTTACGGTCAGATGCCGAGCAGTTGCCATACCAGGTGGTGATGCAACCGGTCAGGATGCTATCGATGGTGCAACTGTAGAACTTTTTGAGGGGACCCATGCCAAATCTTTTCAGTCTCCCGAGGGGGAAAAGGTGTTGTCGTGCCCTCTTCACGACTCTCTTGGTGTGTTCGGACCATGGTAGTTCATTGGTGATGTGGACACCAAGGAACTTGAAACTCTCGACCCGCTCCACTACAGCCCTGTAGATGTTAATGAGGGCCTGTTCGGCCCGCCTTTTCCTGTAGTCCACGATCAGCTCCTTTGTCTTGCTCACATTAAGGGAGAGGTTGTTGTCCTGGCACCACACTGCCACGTCTCTGACCTCCTCCCTATAGGCTGTCTCATCATTGTCGGTGATCAGGCCTACCACTGTTGTGTCGTCAGCAAACTTAATGATGGTGTTGAAGTCTTGTTTGGCCACGCAGTCGTAGGTGAACAGGGAGTACAGGAGGGGACTAAGCACAGCGTGGCAGACGTGTTGTTGCCTACCCTTACCACCTGGGGGCGGCCTGTCAGGAAGTCCAGGATCCAGTTGCAGAGGGAGGTGTTCAGTCCCAGGGTCCTTAGCTTAGTGATGAGCTTTGTGGGCACTATGGTGTTGAACGCTGAGCTGTAGTCAATAAACAGCATTCTCACATAGGTGTTCTTTGTCTTCTTTGTCCTGGTGGGAAAGGGCAGAGTGGAGTGCGATTGAGATTGCGTCATCTCTGGATCTGTTGGGGCGGTATGCGAATTGGAGTGGGTCTAGGGTATCCGGGATGATGCTGTTGATATGAGCCATGTCCAGCCTTTCAAAGCACTTCATGGCTACCAACGTGAGTGCTACGGGGCGGTAATCATTTAGGCAGATTGCCTTCGCTTCCTTGGCCACAGGGACTATGGTGGTCTGCTTGAAACATGTAGGTATTACAGACTCATTCAGGGAGAGGTTGAAAATGTCAGTAAAGACACTTGCCAGTTGGTCCACGCGTGCTTTGTGTCCTGATAATCCGCGGCTTTGTGAATGTTGACCTGTTTAAAGGTCTTGCTCACATCAGCTACCGAGAGCGTTATCACACAGTCGTCCGGAACAGCTGGTGCTCTCATGCATGCTTCAGTGTTGCTTGCCTCGAAGCGAGCATAAAAGGCATTTAGCTCGTCTGGTAGGCTCGCGTCACTGGGCAGCTCGTGTCTGGGTTTCCCTTTGTAGTCCATAATAGTTTTCAAGCCCTGCCACATCCGACGAGCGTCAGAGACGGTGTAGGATTCAATCTTGATCCTTTATTGACGCTTTGCCTGTTTGATGGTTTGTCTGAGGGCATCCGGATTAGTGTCCCGCTTCTTGAAAGTGGCAGCTCTAGCCTTTAGCTCGATGCAGATGTTGCCTGTAATCCATGGCTTCTGGTTGGGATATGTACGTACGGTCACTGTTGGGACGACGTCGTCGATGCACTTATTGATGAAGCCGATGACTGAGGTGGTATATTCCTCAATGCCATTGGATTAATCCCGGAACATATTCCAGTCTTTTTTAGCAAAACAGTCCTGTAACGTAGCATCCGCTTCATCTGACCACTTCCGTATTGAGCGAGTCACTGGTACTTTTGGAGGATAGAATTATGGTCAGATTTGCCAAATGGAGGGCGAGGGAGAGCTTTGTATGCGTCTCTGTGTGGAGTAAAGGTGGCCTAGAGTTTTTTTTCCTCTTGTTACACATGTGACATGCTGGTAGAAATTAGGTAAAACGGATTTAAGTTTGCCCGGCCACTAGGAGCACCACATCTGGATGAGCATTTTCTTGTTTGCTATGGCCTTATACAGCTTGTTGAATGCGGTCTTAGTGCCAGCATCGGTTTGTGGTGGTAAATAGACAGCTACGAATAATATAGATGAGAACTCTCTTGGTAGATAGTGTGGTCTACATCTTATCATAAGGTACTCTACCTCAGGCGAGCAATACCTCGAGACTTCTTTAGTATTAGACATCGCTGTTATTGACAAATAGACACACACCCCCGCCCCTCATCTTACCAGACGTAGCTTCTCTGTCCTGCCAATGCATGGAAAATCCCACCAGCTCTATATTATCCGTGTCATTTGTCAGCCACGACTCAGTGAACAGAATATATTATAGTTTTTAATGTCCCGTTGGTAGGATATTCTTGATCGTAGATCATCCATTTTTTTTCAATGATTGCACATTGGCCAATAGAGCGGTGGTAGTGGAGGTTTACTCACTCGCCTATGAATTTTCAGAAGGCAGCCCGACCTCCGCCCCCTTTTCTCCGTCTTTTCTTCACGCAAATGACGGGGTTTGGGCCCGTTCCCGAGAAAGCAGTATATCCTTCACGTCGGACTTGTTAAAGAAAATATCTTTGTCCAGTTCGAGGTGAGTAATCGCTGTTCTGATTTCCAGAAGTTATTTTCGGTCATAAGAGATGGTAGCAGCAACATTATGTACCCAATAAGTTGAAAAATAAGTTACAAACAAAGGGAAAAAACTAAAAATAGCACAGTTGGTTAGGAGCCCGTAAAACGGCAGCCATCCCCTCCGGCGCCATTGTAGTCACCATTTGTTGGAGTGGCGGCAACGATATAGCAGCGGGGGCACCGCTGCTAAATTAATGTAGGTGAAACACTGATGTCTATCATTGGTCTACAAAGGCTGATTCTGTTTTGTCACCATAATAGAGTCAAACGCCCACGACCCTGAATCAGGTCACATATTGTCCAGAGCATGAAAAAATAACTAGCTAGAGCTATATGCACATTACTCATTTTAATGCTATGGCCCTTTTAAAATAAGCTCTGGAAGCACACCCCAGTACCCCAGCCTCTGAGCCCAGAAGACTATACAAGACTATGTGCGTCACAGAGAAGCGGGACCGGGGTTTTGCTCCACTGGAACACAGGGAGAATCCAGCCTAGGGGGAGTGTCGTGTGGAATCACTGTTAAAACAGGCGTGCCTTCGCTGGAGAGGGGGAGAGGAGAAGAGAGGAGAGGAGGAGATAAGAGGGGGAGTGGAGGGGGTTGGAGTTAGGGATGTTAATGAGGGCAAGGGAAGGGTGACAAATAGACCTTACCCCTCCCCTCCAGCCCCCATCAAAAACAGGGCATGATTCTACTGAGCACATTTTCACCAGATGCATTACATCAGTGGAGGCTGCTGAAGGGAGGACGGCTCATATTAATGGCTGGTATTTACATTTACATTTTAGTCATTTAGCAGACGCTCTTATCCAGAGCGACTTACAGTTAGCACATACATTATTTTTATCGAACCCACAACCCTGGCGTTGCAAACGCCATGCTCTACCAACTGAGCTACATCCCCTGCCGGCCATTCCCTCCCCTACCCTGGACGACGCTGGGCCAATTGTGCGCTGCCCCATGGGTCTCCCGGTCGCGGCCGGCTACGACAGGTATGAAGTCAATGGAGAGGTATCAACCACATGGAAACCATGTTTTTGATGTGTTTGATACCATTTTATTGACTCCATTCCAGCCATTATTATGAGTCTTCCTCCCCTCAGCAGCCTCCACTGCAGTACATGGATATTCAGCTAGGTAGGAGAGGGAGGTAGAGTATGTTGGACGATTATTCAAGCCTGTCTGTGTCCCTGATTGTTCTGGTGTATTTATTGTGTTTCTGGTTGACTAGCAGCAGTCCCCCTGCAGCCGCCCAGCGTTGCCCTCCTGCCAACCTCTAACCCCAGGGACGGAGGCAGGAAGGGAGGAAGAGAGAGAGAGAGAGAGAGAGAGAGAGAGAGAGAGAGAGAGAGAGAGAGAGAGAGAGAGAGAGAGAGAGAGAGAGAGAGAGAGAGAGAGAGAGATGGTGGGATTAGTGCAGGATCACTAACTTTGCTCCCGGTGGTCTTGCCCTTTACCACTGATGACCCTGTCTCTCCCATCAGTCACCATGCCTTTTTCCTACCAGATGGAAATATTGGGAGAGTTATGTAATCACATATATAACAGGTATTTTAGCTGAATGTTGCTTTGCCTTTCTTCTCCACTCTCTTTCCTTCCAACTTTCCTACCTGTCTTTCCTCCTTTCCCTGTCTATCTTCCTCCCTCCCTCCCTCCAGAACCCAGACCTAGAGGTGGATGAGAACGGGACATTAGACCTGAGTATGAAGCAGCGTCTAGGGGGTGGTGTAGGTGCGGTGCTCACCCCCCTGGAGCCCATGTCTCCCCAGCGCCAGGCGCTGATGCGTTATGGCATGGGGGATGACTGCTGGGACCTACCAGTCGACTACGCCAAGATCAAATGCATCGACGAGGACAGCAAAGAGGTACTAAAATGAGAAGGATGATGATGATCAGATGATGATGGTGATCACTACTCTAACCTGTAACTCGTATTGTGGGATGAGGTTATCCTATCTTTCAATGACTTTCTATAACATTAGCTTCACAGTCAGCATTCAAATATCATGCATATACACAAACAGCTTGCTACTGTACATACACTACCGGTAAAAAGTTTTAGAACACCTACTCATTCAAGGGTTTTTCTTTATTTTTACTATTTTCTACATTGTAGAATAATAGTGAAGACATTAAAATGATGAAATAACACATATGGAATAATGTAGTAACCAAAATAGTGTTAAACAAATCAAAATATATTTTATATTTGAGATTCTTCAAAAATAACATTTACATAAGATAGAGATCAAAGGGGTAAACATGAAGCATGAAAGCCTTTAAGCTCATGTATACATGCATGCACAAACATACACAAACATACAAACATACATGCATACTTTAAATACAGTGCCAGTCAAAAGTTTGGACACACCTACTCATTCAAGGGTTTTTCTTAATTTTTACTATTATCTACATTGTAGAATAATAGTGAAGACATCAAAACTATGATATAACACATATGGAATCATGTAGTAACCAAAAAAAGTGTTTTATGTTTGAGATTCTTCAAAGTAGCCACCCTTTGCCTGATGACAGCTTTGCACACTCTTGGCATTCTCTCAACCAGCTTCATGAGGTAATTACCTGGAATGCATTTCAATTAACAAGTGTGCCTTCTTAAAAGTTAATTTGTGGAATTCCTTTCCTTCTTAATGCATTTGAGCCAATCAGTTGTGTTGTGACAAGGTAGGGGGGGTGGTGTATACAGAAGATAGCCCTATTTGGTAAAAGACCAAGTCCATATTATGGCAAGAACAGCTCAAATAAGCAAAGAGAATTAAGAAAATAGTAAAAAATAAAGAAAAACCCTTGAATAAGTAGATGTTCTAAAACTTTTGACCGGTAGTGTACATCTAACATTAAGATTCACAAAGGCCTACATACAGAAGTCCCCCGCTGCATTTTAATAACACCCATCCATTTGGCATTCCATACAGTACCTACTGTGTTTCACATCTGTCCAACCCAAGCCATCTGTCTCCAAGGACTTTCTGTTGATTCCTTTTTGTATAAGACTCCCATTTCATGTTGAGGTTATTTTTAACACCAGCCCAGATCTCAGGTTGTTAATTTCCATCAGCATCACTATACAGCAGACAGAGGTATGCTGTGTCTCTCTGCTATTCTCCAGAATGAATTATGCAAATAAATATTGGGAGGGAATCTAAATAGCTCTTCTCATCAAAAGACTGCAGGAAATCAGTGTGTGTCGGCGTCTACGTGTGTGCATGTGAGCGTGCCTGCGTGTGTGTATGCCTGTGTATGTGTGCCTGCTTTTACGCTGTAGAGGATCTTGCAAAATGACCCAGCCCAATGCTCTTCAATGTGTGCTGGATATATTTTCCTGTCTTTAGGGGCATTACTGTACACAAAGGAAAATAGATGGTTTACATCAATAGTCCTGCCCCGCCTGGCTGCCTGCACTGTAGACAAAGCCAGCCTTCAACCAGACTCTAGCGATCTGGGACTTCACCACAGTGCCATCTAGGGTATCTGATAAGTACTACATTAGAATGCTCAGCCAAACCCCTAATTCTGATTCCATTGTGTTGAGGGCAATAGGCATTGGGAAAAACAACATAGTGAAGCCTACTGGAGCACAACAGAGAGTCTCACGGTCAGTTTTCCTCATATAATCCTGTAAATAGTCATGCAAATAGATAGCTCCAATCTAGTAATATGCAGCACTTAATAAAGACTCCAGGGTTTCTCGTCTAAAGAGATAGCCCTGATGTTTCCAGTCTGTCGTGGTAAGAAGTTCTTTACTACGTCAATCCTCAAAGAATGCTTTATATACACAACAGCATTTCCAGTCTCCTCATTCAGAGTCTCTTCTGTTGATTCGCACACACTCAAACAAATTGGCTTAGGTGCTCTCAGGATCCATACAGCGGTACTGTAAACGGCATTATTTCTACTTCCTGAGTGCTGCGTTCTCTCCACAGCCCAGATTGACGGTATGGCAGAGCCTCCTCAACCACCACCTTGGCAGCCCGCCAGGCAGGCGCAGCCATTTGCATACAAATTGAGAGAGCAGAGTGCCATTGTGTTTTAAAGAGACCTGCTTCTAAAGCTCTGAGAGTGCCAAGGCAGTTCTCTTTCTATTTCTCTGTGTGTGTGTGTGTGTGTGTGTGTGTGTGTGTGTGTGTGTGTGTGTGTGTGTGTGTGTGTGTGTGTGTGTGTGTGTGTGTGTGTGTGTGTGTGTGTGTGTGTGTGTGTGTGTGTGTGTGTGTGTGTGTGTGTGTGTGTGTGTGCGTGCGTGCGTGCATTCGTGCGTGCGTGTGTGAGGCTGATAATCCACCCTCTGAAGGTCTGAGTAATACCTCTGGTTAAGGAAGTAGGCATTCTTCCTCGCCGAGCCAGTGACTTTGCCACCAACCGATTGTGCTCTAAGTGGGTATTTGTTGGTGTGTGTCTGTGTCTATTTATGAGTAAGAGAGAAAGACTGAGAAAGAGAAAGAGCTTAGAATGACAAGCCACTGAATCCTGAATGCCCATCTGTCTCAAATCATACCGTTGATTTTCCGAAAGACAAATGTCACTGTATTTCAGTCAGATTTGATTTTAAATGGAGCTGAAGTTGATGTGAACCTGGCTGCTGCTCTTCAACACTAATATAAATGATAGAGGACATACTTTACCTTGTGCCCCTCTTCTAGCGTGCTGGTGGCCCAGGGACAGCTTTAAACTGTAGCTGGCAGCCACAGGCAGCCTGATGGGCCGTGCAACCCATGCCCTCTGTCTCCCACAGTGCAACTCCACAGATAGTTGGTCTGTCAGAGCTGTCAATTTCAATTCATAGTCCCACTCCGTCCTCGCCATCTTTTTGACTGTGTGTATCTCTCTTTGTCTCTCCCCATCCCTCTCTCTCTCCTCTTTTCTGTCTCTTTCTCGCTCTCGTTCCTCTCTCTTATTCACCCTCTCATCCCAATCTCTCTGGTTCCCCCCCTCTTTCTCACTCATCCCTCTCTCTCATCCACTCTTTCTCTCGCCTAAATCCCCCTCTTCATCTAGCCTGATGACCTGGACCAGTTCCGGGATCTGCTGGAGGAGCGAGGTTACTCTGGTGATGTCACCATGCACAGCCCCAAGCCCAAGTACGCCCAGTGCAAGGAGAGCAAGAAGGATCTGATAACGTAAGACTGACCAGGAGGGGATATGTGTGCATGTGTGTTACAGGAGGTTGGTGGCACCTTAATTAGGGAGGGTGGGCTCATGGAAATGGCTGAAGCAGAATGAGTGGAATGGTATCAAATACATCAAACACCATGGTTTCCATGTGTTTGTCATTCCATTCGCTTTGTTCCGGCCATTATTATGAGCCGTCCTCCCCTCAGCAGCCTCCTGTGGCTTGTGTGCCACCACTCCCCCTGCTCCCATCTGCTTTTCTCCCCCTCCCTCTTTGCTTTCCCTTCTTTTTTGTCTCTGTTATTTTCCTTGGCTTCAAAGGAACCACCCACCTCTTCTCCTTTGCATGCTACATTTGCAGTGCACATTTCTGCCAGCTTTTCATTTGATCCACAGCTCTTCAGCCAGTGTATTGATGGCTTCTTATGCTTCTCTTATGTTGATGCTTTATCGTAATAAAACATCAGTACCTCTTCATGTTGCAGCTGCGCCCTAGAACGGGGTCCAAAACAAACCATTTTTGCAGACAGTGAAGCTAAACTGGAAACAATGAAAAAACTAATCAGCCAACAAAAAAGCATAAACAAACCTTCTATTTCTTTATTTTATGTTCCTCTCGTTATGGTTTCATTGTGTCTATTTCTCTGGTGACAGATGCCCAACACCTGGGTGTGACGGGAGCGGTCACGTGACTGGCGATTACGTGTCACATAGAAGGTGTGACTTCATTTTCTCCTGGTGGAATAAGTCTCTTGGATTTATTGTTTTCAGCTTACCTCGACTAACCTGTCAGACTAATGCAGCACATCTCTGTGTTGACCTTTTGAGTAGGATTACAGTTAACCTTTTGAGTCCAAGTGCAGTATCATCATGGTACACATAGGCCTACCAGATACCCAATAATTGTGTCAAGGAATCTACCCAATGAAATTGCAGAGCATTTAAACAAAACAACTGTGTTCTACACATGCTATCACCGAATGCAGTTGTTCAGAGAGTTAACACTTTTATTTACTGACCCTAAGTCCCCCCTGCACTCGCATCATGGCTTTCTTGCAATTCCAGTCTTGTCAGTGTGTGTGTGTGTGTGTGTGTGTGTGTGTGTGTGTGTGCGTGCGTGTACAGTATGTGTCTCTGTCATCCTGTTTCAGCGGTGGGTCCTCTCTCTTGTTGGCCTCACTAACATTGTCCTGATATATCTTTCAGTCTCTCTGGCTGTCCTTTAGCTGACAAAAGCATTCGAAGTATGATGGCCACCAACTCACAAGAGCTCAAGTAAGGCGTGATATGTTTCATTATTATGTTTCTTTCCTCTTTTGTTGATATGAAAATGTATGCACTCACTAACTGTAAGTCGCTCTGGATAAGTGCGTCTGCTAAATGACTCAAATTTAAAATGTAAAATATATTGTAAAAAAGGTATCATGTATCAAACAGGTTTTAGTTCCTCAGACAAAACTAATACACTCTACTGACTGTTACAGTGAAATACATTATCGATGTGGTACAGAATGAGTGTGTTTTTTAGTGTGTCCATCAAGACCTGTTGATTACTGTAGGCCCTGATTCGCTGTGCTTTCTGTCCCAGGTGCCCGACACCGGGGTGCGATGGTTCTGGGCATAATACTGGCAACTACGCATCACACAGAAGGTAAATACACACACACACACACACACTTGTCGTTCCTCACACAGGCAGTAGACTGGACACAGACCTCTCAGGCTGGGTCAGAGTCATTCTCTGTGTCTGTAATATTTGTCATTGATGTGGTTGCCTTTCCTCTGCAGTCTATCAGGGTGTCCGCGGGCCAGGAAGAGTGGGATCAAGATCACACACAGTAAAGAGGACAAGGAGGACCAAGAGCCCATCAGGTTAGCCTGCCATGAATGAGACGTGGTCTCCCAGTGTTTGAGTGTTCCCAAACACCTCTCAAAGACTCAGGGAACTACAGGGCTCACCCATTTTCTAGATGCCCTTAACCAATGACACTTGATTCCCTTAACTGACTCTTAGTGTTCTTAATGTTACGCCCCTGAAAAAGGGGAGAAATAATCACGAGAGTGATACGGTTATATTTCCTCACTGAGAACTTTAGTGTAATCATTTTACAAAAGTACCACATTTTACAGAACAACAGATCTACAGGAAATAGATAGTTTTGTAGGGTACAAGGCTTATTCAAGTCACAACAGCATTCACTGTAATTCACTGAAACATATATACATTTTTCAATATAACTGTCAAGCACAAAGTAGCTTTAGCTCAGTAAACCATAACTAAATGTATCAACAATGTCAATAAAGTGTTTGAAACACATTATACAAATAACACCGCAAAATATATTATTAACAACGTACATGTTCATTCACAATTAACATAAAATGGCAGCTACTCTCAGTACGAAGCTATTCTTCGCTGCAACCGAGCGGGGCTCCACTCACACACGCACATATTACACTCTGCAAACGTAACTCTAACTTACTCAAGATGTTACTAAAACACACCTTAAACACTCTTGACATGTTAGCAAGTTATTACATTTAAATTAACTCTGTTTTATATCAATAATATACCTGAAAAAGGGGAGAAATAATCACGAGAGTGATACGGTTATATTTCCTCACTGAGAACTTTAGTGTAATGAGGAAAAGACCGCGATTTCCCCGGGAACTTGGGTGGAGACCAGAGCAATCGATCTCAGGCTCATAGATTAAGAGCATTTAGTAGTTCACAGGTTAACACTTTTACCCTTAAATTAGGCACCACAAAATAAAGTAGTCAATATAACGTTTACGCATTCCTCTTTCAATTTTTACCCTTTGTACGCTTGACGGATTTTAACCTTTTAACATAATTATATGAATTTTATCAATCTCTATGAACTAGTACTGAATGCATGATCTTTTTAACCTTAGATATTTTAAGATCCTCACATACCATGAACTTACTGATACTTTTTAGTGTATTACAGGCTATGAGTACTTCCTTTAACCTGTCGCATTAACACAACATTTCCAAATGATTAGATTGAAACAGATCTAGGCAACCCACAGTCTACCATGGTTTTAGAAGGAGGGTTGTCCTGCATAGGGTTCTGCTGTGAATAGAGATACAGAGACCGCTAGCTTAGACAGAGATTGATCTGGATTCTACCTAAATCCTCTAATGGGCTTTTCTGGCCACAGCTCTGCACTCCCATCGATTTCTCTGTGGTGCTGAAAGGAAACCAACACCCTGGGCTGTCTGTGTGTCAGTCTGTCTGTCTCACACGGTCAGCCAAGCCAAAATAGGTTTTCCCACACATCTATCTCCACTAAAACAGCCCAAAATGAGCATTGGCTGGTGGAGGAAAGTTATTGGACTTAAAGTCAAACTTTTTTCTTTCTGAAAGCATTTGGAACTGTGTTGGGGTTTGGACCAGTTTTTTCTGCGTTATTTCAGGGAAGGGGAAAGAGATTCTGACTGTTTCTGGAAATAGAATAAGCCTGATAGATAGATTAACAAAACCAAGGGGAGTTATAACCATAATCCACTGGGGAAATATGATGTGTTGAAACATTTGCAGCTTCACTGGATCTGATTAGCCATAGTGCTGACTGCTGATTTAACATTGACTCACTTTAATCTGTGTCAGTGTGATAAACTGCCATAGGGACAGATTAGACCAGATCAGACCAGATTTAAGGTGTTTTTATTTATATTTAAATTGGAGGGATTATATATATATATATATATATATATATATATATATATATATATATATATATATATATATATATATATAGATATAGATATAGATATAGATATATACTGTATTATCTCTCATTATGAATAATGGTACTCAAAACCCAAACAAAGCCATACTGCATTCAATTCTGTAATGATATTTCCATAAACGTAGGCACCCATGAAATAATATGTGGTCCAACTTTACATTACATAGACCATATGGCATTGCAATAACTATGTAATTACACAATTCTTCCTGACAATGTATCCTGATCAGGAAAAACTCTGGGCCCTTGTCAGAAAGAAACTCCAGTCCCTGGTTATTAGAATAACCAGAGCATCCCTCTGCCATCCACAGGTGTCCGGTCCCGGGCTGTGATGGTCAGGGTCACGTGACGGGGAAGTACGCGTCTCACCGCAGCGCATCGGGCTGCCCCCTAGCTGCCAAGCGACAGAAGGACGGCTACATGAACGGCTCCCAGTTCACATGGAAGGCTGGGAAGACAGACGGCATGTCCTGTCCCACCCCGGGCTGTGACGGCTCGGGCCACGTCAGTGGGAGCTTCCTCACGCATCGGAGGTGGGTCTGGGTCCTGCATCAATATCCCATAATGCATCCTCCCTTTATCCCTTCCCTGATGTAATCACTGATCTGACATGACGGGCTTTGTGAAAGCTATGTAGTGGACCCAATGCTTTCACCTATCCAGTCAGGTTGTGTGTGTGTGTCTAAATAAAATTTGTACTATTTGTGTGTAACTATTTTCTCGTCTGTTCCCCTAGCTTGTCAGGCTGTCCGCGTGCCACGTCTGCCATGAAAAAAGCCAGACTGTCTGGACTGTCAGAAATGCTAACGATAAAACAGCGCACCAGCAATGGTAATGACTGTCACACACACACAATGGAGCCAATCAGGAGAGTGTATGTGTAATGAGCTTCTGATTAGAATCCCAATCTGATATAAAGAGCCAATCAGGAGTGTGTATGCGTAATGAACTCCTAAATAAAATAAATAAATAAATAAAATAAAAATGCCATTTAGCAGACGCTTTTATCCAAAGCGACTTACAGTCATGTGCGCATAAATGGTATCCCAATCTGAAACAATGGTTTCAGGACTGCCATACAGCAATCACAGAAATCCATACAGCCTCTACATCCTCTGAGCTAGCAAGCTCGCCAGTGACAATTAGTCTATTCATAGATGCGGTAAAGGAGTCAATGGAACGCGGTTGTTCCAATGACCAGATTGGCGCACATTCAACAAATCTGTTCTAACAAAGTGGATATGCGTGAAATTCGTCATTATTTATGTAGTGTAACAGGCCCACAATTTCGCTGCATTACATGTAGAAGTTGTCCCTTTTCAGGTTTAGAAGAAGTGACTGCGAAATGCTAACTCCCGTTCGTATAAGTTGGTTAGCATAGCTAGCATACAGAAATCATTGATGGTAGTCAAAGTTGTTTTTAACTGTAATGCAGTTGCTTGGTTGACATTCATACAAGCATTATATTTTTACCTCAACATATTGTTAAGTACACATATAAACAATAGCGTAAATGTAGGCTAATTTTGCTGGAGGGCAATGAGGTTCACTCAGGATCTTTCCCCCACGGCCCTTTCCCTCATGCGTTTCCATGGCAATTCCATTGTTTTGGTCGAGTTCCATTAACCTCTTTACCAAAGATTTTTATAACTAAACCTCATTGTTCTATCTGTGTCTTTACCGCATCTATGGGTTGCACCTCCGTCATTTGGTCGTGTCGTTGCCATTGTTATCATCGTTCTACAGACGCTGCAGACATACTGATGCCCAAAGTAGAACGGGAGTTAATGACCGTTTCGTCTAAACTAGATGACATTGCTAAAGTAGGCAAATATTTAGTTGGAAACAACTTTGCAATCAACATCATGTACTCAAATTTACTTTAGACAGATGGCAATGTTGTCATTAGCTAGCAAAGTTTGTCAAAAATACCCAAGCAATGCTAACGTTAGCTAGATAACATCCGGTGGTCTCCCCTCAATCTGATTTATGTAGCTAACGTTATATTGCATCTAAAGTCAATCTGGCGACATCAAAATGATGACAAAAGGTTGTCCTACTAATTATTTGCCTTCTTTAGAAATGTAATTGTATTTCTTTCTTTAACAATATTTTATTTTTCCTTTTCTTTATTTTTTTCTACAATCCATAAAAAAAATTCAACAAACTTATACATACAAACGACAACTCACAGACACCCACAAACAATGACCACATCTCCTCTGCCCAGACCCGCATTTTCACACCCCCATCCCTAGTGCCTGCATTACTGTTTGTCACTTGTTCTTAAATTGTACCAATTTGTTTTTCTCGGTCGCCCATGCTATTTCAATATTTCAATAAAAAATTATTTGAATTGTCCATTGTGCCAATGATGGCGGATTGATTGACTTCCATGTTTTTTGTATACTTATTTTCAAAATGAGTGATGAGAAAAAAAATCGTCCAGCCCATTGGGTATCTCACTACCCCCCCATTCCCCCCCCCCCCCCCTCCCATATGTCATGTCTAGAAATTAAAAGTGAGTTTACATTGTTATACTTCTGACAGCCAACTTTCTAGCAATTTCCAAACTTCATAGAATTCTCAGACAGCATGGATTATTAAGTGATTATTAGTTTTACACTTGAGACATGACTCTGCCGTTGTGTTATATAATTTGTGAATTTTGTCTCTTGTATAATACATTCTATACATTAGTTTATACTGGATCAAGCATACATTTTCATTAACTGTAATTGTGTTAGTTATTCTCCAACTTTCCCTCCATATTGTGGCAACATCAGTTCTTTTTCAATCTTGGTTCCAATAATTTATATTTTTTTCGAAGAGATTGTCAGTTGGATATGCTTTCTGCAAGGTTTTGTAGATCTTCTTTATCATATGAACATCGTTTTCTGACTCAAATAATATTCCCTCAAGGTTGTTCTGATGTCTAAAAGACTTAAAATCGACGTTGATATGTAACGTTTAAGTTGCATGTATTTGAAACTATTGGTCAGTCCAAAATGACTTCTAAATTCTGTCATGGAAATAAATGTTTTTCCTGTTACCTAGTCATTTACGGTTTCTATGCCTTTAATTTTCCATGTGGGCCATTTTATCGATGAATTCTGAAAAGCTATCCAATGATTATTCCATAAGGTTGTGTGTCATTGTATTTCCAAGTCATTGTAATGCACTTTTGATGATCTAGTTGACAGTGCATTGAGTAGAATGCTCAGTCTGGCATCAGACGAATGTTCAAAACAATATTGTGACGAAACGTGCAACCCATTAATAAAGATACCATCCCTTTGCCTCTATCACACTCTCATTCACCCACCACACTGACAGATTATTTTAAGTATTTTGTTGGGTTTTGAGTGGGTGGCAGTTATCTAATAATTGTTCTCTGTATTATCTTTTGAAGGAATCGAGAATGAGGAAGAGATGAAACAGCTGGATGAAGAAATCAAAGATTTAAGTGAATCTAATTCACAAGTGGAAGCAGATATGATCAAACTTAGAACACAGGTAAGTCAGTAGTACCATGCCATTTGTTGACTTGAATATTTGACTCATTTCATGCTTACCGTTCAGTTTCTACTCATTGTGGCACACCATTCTGCTATTGTCAGAGCTCCTAGACTCTCAGTGTGTATTTGTAGCACAGCGTACACCTAAATTAATCTACCCTCCACTAAAGCACTCACCAGAAATGTGACTCCAGCTTGGAAAAATCTGTCCAATCGTCATACATGATCTACCATCAGTGAAACACATCCTAGCATATCTCACATCTGGGAGAATGCAGTGTAACAAAGTGGGGCATTCCTAATTATAAAGCACTTTTCCTCTGGGGTCCTCTGCATGCCAAACACAGAGAAATAGAGAGAGCATAATCACTCCCAGCCAACAAAGTGGATCACCCAGTCCCCAATAACATCCTACAGCTCCAGTAGAAAGAGAACAGGAGCAGCAGCTTCACAGCTAGTATAATGGGTTTCTATACAACTATTTGTGTATGTGATCTGCAGAAGCTTAAAGTCAATATCAAGAATGCATCAAACACTCCTTTCAAATCCAGGAAGGAAGGAAAGAAAAGAGCTTCACAATATGTTAAACTACAGTTTGCCTTTTTGTTAATGCATGCAAGTTTGATCTCATTTTGGAAATACAGGCTGTATTCTAACCTGTAGTAGACTTTTGGAACTCAAACATTTGAGCACAACAGTGCATTGGAGGCAGATCCCACTGAGCAAAAACTGGTTGAATCAACATTGTTTCCACATCATTTAAAAAACAAAAAATCTACATGATGACGTTGGATCAATGTGGAAAAATTATTGGATTTGCAAAAAGTCACCAATGTCTCTATTTTTTACCAAACTTTTAACCTAAATCCAATGACATAGTAAAATGTTTTGTTGATTTCACGTTGAATTTACATTAGTTGACAACTCAACCAAATGTAAATCAAAACTAGACGTTGAAATGACTGCTGTGCCCAGTGGGATGGCATATTTGTGCTAAGATTGAGTTCGAAGCATGTGTTGGAATATACCCCACAGAATTTGAAGTACATTTGTGTGATTGTCAGTGTGTTGAATTGCATCTGTCCATGCCCATTCCCATTGCTCTTCACATATGTTGCTCTGTTGCGGTTACATCCATCTCTCCATGTGATGATGCCATAGACATGGCTGCACGCCAGCCAATCAGCCGTGAGTTGTGGCGTGTCTGAGGTGTGCCGCTGCCCGTGGTATGTGAACTGCACCCTGTGTGCTCCGCTGTAACAACCACAGGTAAAAACCACCACCTTTACCGTAACCCTCTTCTTCTCTCACGCTCCCTCCCTTCCCTAGATTACCACAATGGAGTCTAATCTGAAGTCAATAGAGGAAGAAAACAAGGTGATTGAACAGCAAAATGAATCTCTCCTGCATGAGCTGGCAGGTCTCAGCCAGACACTGATTAACAGTTTAGCTAATATCCAGCTCCCTCATATGGTAAGGGAACACCAAGAACAACAACCTGGCAAGTTCCTATAAGCAAACATACTGTAGCATATGAGTTGATTCATTTATATACTCATCTATGTACAGTATTTATCTATTCATTATTTACATTTCTGTGAAGCCCTTAAAGACCCAGTTTTGTGCATGCTGAGTTGAGCAAGGGCGTCAAGCCTAGATGAATGAAAAATAGGTTATTGCTAATTTTAGCCAAACTGAAAAGGGGAAGTTTTATATGAGGCTTATGTTATCAATTAGTGGGGAATTTCTACATGCAGAGACTTTCAATGGTGACCAAACAACAGTCTGCTGATAATGTTTTCTGATATCCAACATATAGACAGATTGGAGAGTCAGATGATTATAAAATATTGCTATCTACTGTAAATGTTCTCAGTGCAATGGAAACTTAGTCTCCGCCATTTTGACACTCTATCTGTAGCTATAGGCTACTATGTTTGCAAATTCAACAAACTAACTTCTTGATTTTCATAGTGTGATGCTATAATTGCAGGTCTGTTTTTACTGTAGGGCTAAAAGTATTTTAGGGCATGCCAAAAACATAAGCATCCATTTATACTTTAGAAAAAGAAGGACAAAATAGCACGGGTCGTAAAGCTATGACTGATGCCCGTGTTATTCACAAATGGCCATTTTGCCATTTTCTTATAAGCCATAATGCTGCCATTTATCGGGACCACCCATATGTAAAAATGTATGCACGCATGACTGTAAGTCGCTTTGGATAAAAGCGTCTGCTAAATGGCATATTATATTATATTATTATAGTTAGAATTTTCTTCATCTAAAAATGTGTAACCTTTGTATGTGAACACAATAATATATCATTCCAGATGCTATGATCATTCTGACTATGTTGTGAGCTGGATTCAGTTGCAGGCCCAATTCACTACCACAGATGTATTCTTGTACTGTATGCTTTGCTATGTCTTGCCTTTATTTATTTCAAAGATACATTTTGTTAGATGTGCTGTTGGTACTGCAGATAAAATCCTACCATCTAGTGATTGTTTGAGAGAGTACCAGTAACTAGAAACCAACTAACAGTAACTAACCTTTCCCCCCATAGAAACCGCTTGCACACAAAGAGGCTCCCATTAGAAATAACAGCTGCTTACAGATGCATCAGATAGTAAGACAATCATTCATCATATTCTTATTCTAACACTGCTTTTCTTCTCTTTATTTCCTCATATGGACACTATGATATACTACTAGTGTCAGAGCCACCATAATAGTCAATAGAGTTAGTCATCTGTCTGGTTCAGAATCTCTCCCATTCATGTCCTCGTAATGTCTTTCCCATGTCCATCTGTATTTTATTCATGTGACCATGTCTTTTTCCCAGTCATCTTACATCTCTTGATGCGATTTTTATCCTGAATCACATCCAATCCTGAATTTCCCTTTTTTCCAAACTTTCTAACCACAATGATAATCTATTTGAATGGAAAAAGCTTGTTTTAGCGAAATGAAAGTGCACTTGTTGGTTGCAAAGTGCATGTACATACAATGCGTATAGACACTGCAGCATGACCCTATTTTCCCAAAGTGGACATCGCTGCATGACATCTTACTCTGTGTGGATCATCTTTGTCTAAAACCACCACCTCTCAGCCTTTGACCTGTGGCAAGACACCTTATTTAGATGACTATCATTTTTAGAGCAATTAAATATGAAAAGGCCCTTTCACAGGGCTAGTTCAGAGAATAGTTTGTTTCAAGTGGTTTTATCTCTGGTAAATGGTTAAACAACTGTTTGTAAGTCTAAGCTCCTCAAAGGATGACTTTAGAGTTTTCTTTAGGCCTGTCTTCTGTTCTCTGTTTATCACCTCTTTTTCTTATGATCTCACTTAATTCTGGTGTTCCACAGGAGCCGATCAGCGATCAGAACTTTGATGCTTACGTGACCACGCTAACAGACATGTACACCAACCAGGAGCAGTACCAGAGCCCTGAGAACAAAGCCCTGCTGGAAAACATAAAACAAGCGGTGCAAGGAATCCAAGTGTAGCCCAGCCCGCTAGCCCAGCAAAAGCCAGAGCTTCTTCTCAAAGAGGAGTGAATGAAAACAACATCCACAGGAAAGAACTAGAAGTGACATAATTGGATGATGCCTCATGGTTTGCTGCTGTAACTTATCATACAGTGTTAGATATAGATTTTTGATCTTCAAAAAAAGAAATGTTATGCTTAGAAAACTTCATAATGATTTTTCTTTTTGGTCCTGCTTTGAAGAAAAAAAAGTAAATGGCAGAATAGTTTTTGAAGACATTCACATTTTGTACGTTTTCATACTGTATGAGCTGACATAGTGTGATGTAATGTTTCTAGCTGCTCATGTATGCACATTTTTTGTGTATATTTCTGAACAGTAAGCTGAATAACATAGGACTTTAGTTCTTTTTATGCTTGATGATGAAGACTTTTAGATGAAAAAGCTGCTCTGGACAGTGAAAACAAAACAAAAACAATGAGGGAACTGCAAGGAGGTAGCAACTTTTCAATTATCTTTTCCTCAATGGATGATTATGGAATTCTAAAGATGTTTTTTCTTCTTCTTGTGTGCAGATTGTTGAATAGCAAGACTTGGTTGCAAAGTACCTTTTTTTTTTTTTTTAACCTTTTTTAAAGGTTGGTAGCTGAAGGTGGGGACATTTTTAATAGGTGTTAGAAATGAGTATGGAAAGAAACTGACTTGATGTTTGTATGAATGTTATAGTTTTATTGTAAACATCATGACACGGAAACCCAATGGTGGAAATCCCATTGTCTTGAAAAGGACTATTCACGCTTGATCTTTTGTGTTGGTAGACACCCATTGTCATTCAATCAGCAACAAGGTGATGTATAATGGCAATAGAGTATAAAGGCATCTTTCTAGCATTTAGTAGTAGTTCTGGTTCAAATTTCAAAACTTCTGTTGCTAGAATCGGGCAATGTCTCAGCAATGTATATCTAAATCAAATGTTTATAATAGATATGGGATGCAAAAATTGTTTTGGGGTATATGCAATTACCTGTTTATAAACATAGGGGGGGAAACAAATAAATATTTTTACTATAGGTAAAATTCAAAATATTATATAAACCTTTCAATACAAAAAAGTGTTTAAGTTGGACATTCAGTTTTAAAGATGAAAGATGCTTTACGAGTTCCACTTTCTTTACATAAAATTTTGCACAAGGACACCTTTGTTTCCATGTTTTGATGTTTCTGCAGAAACTAAAGCAGTACCTGAGACCATAAGCGGAGAGTAACAAGAGATTTGTAAAGAGTATTTATACTACAGTATGAGAAAGAGCGGGACTTACAGGGTCATTGTCCCCACTTATGTGCCAGTAGACTATTTGCACTTGTCCTACAGATACTATCCTAACATGCGGCGACGTGCAATTTCCAGGTGTTTGTTTGAAACATGATTGGAGCAAATAACTGCTTGAAGCCAGTAGGTGATGAATTAGTTCCACTGAAGGAGACTACAGGGATTTGAATCAGAAATTATGATTATAACCATACCAGTAATACTCTATTATCAAATGTTAAACAATGATGCTATTTCATTTTGGTATGTTATATGACTATTAAATAATCCCCAGCAGCACTTTATATCTAATCACTGTACAAATTAAATAGTAAATTAAAGGTTAAAAAAAAAGATTTGAAAAGACGGTGTATTGTCTTTTAGTTGAATTCTGAATGGGGGGATGCAGTTTCATGTCTGTATGCGGCCCCTCTTTCTGTTGTGTTATTAGTTGTTAGCGACCATGTTGAGAATTTGCCTTTTTAAGAGCTAATGCAAAGGTGCTTGTCGTTCACCTGATCTCATCTATTGTACTTTTACGTCCTCTTTTAGGGCTCCTTTCTCAATGGCTGAATATGCCTTTCTCCACAGCATCGTGTCTGCAGCTTTTTGCCAATATAGTAACGCTTTCAGTAGAGTACTAGCTAGTATCAGTTCTTGAATTAATTCTCATTATCAGTACAATGGAAAGGGATTTAAAGCACAAACCGGCTGCTCATCTACCGTTGGTACATAAAATCACATTTGAAAAAAGTTATCTATGAATATTTACATAGGGGACACATATTAGAATGCTGAATTTTCATATAAATTATTGTGAATTAATCAGAGTTTATTTATTCTATCTTATTCATTTTGAGGTTGGTTTAAGTATTCATTAAGAAGACAGGATTTTGTATAAACTATTGTGCTCTCTGTGGAACTGAAGTTTAATTTATTTTTGTACTACACAGCATGGATTTGTTGACATTTTAATTTTGCTATAAATGTGTGAGATCACAAGTTGCTGTGATATTTCATTTTTAAATTGTGAACTTTGTAAAAATTTTGTCATGCTAGATGTTGACACATCTTACTCTGAATAAAGAAAAATTGTGTTGCCACAGGCCTGCAAGCTTTGATGTTTAGTCATCATCCTTGTTCATGCTTTCAATTCATGTTTTAACTCCAAAAACATTGCATTCAGTGAAAGGCTGCGTTCATTCGCAAGGGTTTTTTCATTTATTTTTACTAGGCAAGTCAGTTAAGAACAAATGCTTATTTACAATGACGCCTACCCCGACAAACCCGGAAGACGCTGGGCCATTTGTGCGCCGCCCTATGGGACTCCCAATTACAGACGGATTGTGATACAGCCTTGATTCGAACCAGGGTCTGTAGTGACGCCACTAGCACTGAGATGCAGGGGAGATGCAGTGCCTTAGACTGCTGCGCCACTCAGGAGCCCAATACACAACAGAATCGCTGAGTTTTTTATTCCTGGACAATCCTCAGATGTTTTGCAATAACAATAAAGCTTTCTTAGGATAAGACTTTATGCTACGTTTATTTTGACGGCTATAAAGCGGAGTGGGTGTTTTGTTACAAGTACTACAAGTACAAGTGTCATACCACATGAAAACCAGCAGATATCAGCACAGAGCACTGTATAACATCATATTTCTATGGACAAACGTTCTTACCTGCATGTCACATGGACTGAAGTTAGAGGGAATCACCCAATTACCTAGAATACAACACAAAATGTAGGCCTATCAAACATCATACTATCATGAGCTGTAAGTAAATGTAAAGTAACACAATAGGAATGGGGTTATCAGACAAATCCTAAACCATTATAATGTCCTAAACCATATCATATTATGGCAATCTGTTTGTATATTTGGCTGAGAATAGGCACATCAATTCACGGCCTGTCCTACAATAGAGTGCATTCCACCCAGCGAGAGACAAACTGGCAACATTTTAGGGCATAATTCCAGGTTCTATGGGAATAACATATGTAAAAGTACATTACATGTTTTTTTATTTATTACATAATTATTTTGAATAGTATTAAGCTAAATTAGTATTTCATAACTGTATGTACCACTGGTTTATTATGCTACATAGTTTATACATTTTTTAAATCGGACATCTCTATACAGATGCAGGCTACAAAGTATCATTTTATTAACTAGGCTTTCCATTAGTTCAACTTTGAAGTAGTTTCTTGATTGGCTTGCTCCCCTGTCACAAAATAATTTGTAACACTGCACTACCTCTCTCTCTCTCTCTCTCTCTCTCTCTCTCTCTCTCTCTCTCTCTCTCTCTCTCTCTCTCTCTCTCTCTCTCTTTCTCTTAGCTTGTAGGGAGGGAGCGGGTCTCAGTCAGCTGAGTTCCCTAGCTTAACTATAACTCAGCCGATGTTAGTTTCGGCAAGAGGGGTTGCTGGCGGTGTGTTGTTCTCTGCGCTGCTGACTCCCTAGCAATGGCGCTGTGGACGGGCAAACTCTTATCCCCTTTTCTAGTCGCGGTAGCACTGATTTTGGTCGCCAGTGGCCCGCAGCCTGTATATTCTTGTCCAAGCCGGTGTTTATGTTTTCGCACTACCGTGAGATGTATGCATTTAAACCTGGAAGCCGTACCTGCTGTTGCTCCGTCGACAACCATCCTGTAAGTAACATTACATTGTATCTAACGGGAAAAGTTAATAGGCTATGGAGGGAACGGAATGAATGCACTGATTTCTGGAGGAGTCACAGCAACCCAAGCGCTTTGAGATGGTCATACGATCTCTTATGTTGGTGTATAATCATTTAAACAGTTAGAAGTTATCTAATCTTTCCGTATCGAAACCACAGTTGATAAAGCAAGATAAGAAGAGCTATCCTCTTCGGGACCAGACCACCATTCTGGTTGCCTATTCAAAGTTGCAATGATGGAGTCTGGGAGTTTTGATAGTTTTAAAGTTCCTCATCACATTGATTTAGTTTAATAAGCTTATCTTATATATATATATGATTTGTTCGTTATCAGTCTTTCATTGGTTTATTCAGTTGACTCACTAAATAAAAACAACAACTTTTTTCAGCCTATAGGCTACTACCAACGTTACGGAAACGAGGTCAAAGGCTTCGTTGGACATAAGAGCATTGTCGGTTGCATAGCCTATGGAAGGGACGTGCCTTTGTAAAGTTCCAACACACCTTTGACGTCTGCCAGTGACTGAGCTAGGCCTACTGATCGTTTTTTTGGAGGGTTAGACAGCTATTGAAATCAGCCACAGAGCAGTTCCCACTGGGCAAAAACTGGTTGAATTAACGTTGTTTCCATGCCATTTCAACCAAAAAATGTAATGTGATGAAGTTGAATCAACGCGGAAAACTTTGAACCTATATCCAAAGACAGGGTGACATGTTTGGTTAAATCACTTTAGTTGACAACTCAACCAAATAGAAATCAAAACTAGACGTTGAAATTATGTCTGTGCCCAGTGGGTTGTTGGATCGTGTCAGTTTTGTGAGAATCTGCACCATGGGCTGACCTTTCCTCCAAGCACTCAGGGTATGATGGTGAATTGTTATGAATTACCTAAGCCTGTTGGACTGCAAGTGGATGGCCTTTGGCCAATATGGCTTAGTTTATTTATTATCTATTCAACATATTGCAAGGTAGTATTGTCATGGATATGTCATTGGCTTCTTGGAGAACCAGAGTAAAGGGT